GAAATTCATTGAATTGTTGTATAACTTAATATGGAATTAAATTTTAGTGTATTATAATATCTTAGGTTAAAGATCCGGTAGTGACAGGAAAAGGTTCGCGCTATTGCCTGAATACAACATTATGCGATTTTTCGTCACCTGAGTACATTTTATTATATTGTTCGATTTGTAAACAATATAATTTATTTGTTCACAAAGTAATATTGTTCAGTAGTAGTAGTATTTAATAAAATTCATTGTTTATAATTTAACCATAAAATAAAAAATTGGAAATTCAAATTTTCAAACATCTGACATTAATATGATAAAACACACACGTTATATATTCTTGTATTACGCGTGGCTTAACTTTTAGGGGTGGTCTGAAAAATCTATTATATTTTTGCAAAATTTTGAAGTACATTTGATTCGTAGAACGGTTTGAACATTTTGTTTTTAATTCAGATTTTAGTCCTCTACAAATAGTTTTTTATGACTTTTGATCTAAAATAATTAGGAAATTTCCCATTAAGTTTCCTATGGCCCGTATAGATTTAGATATAGTAATGATATAAAATCATATCAATTTTCTATTTTATTTCCCGGCCTTAAAAACATATTATATAAAATATAATATGTAAAAATATATTATCTATTAAGTCTATCTGTATAAATATTCTGTCTCATACTGTTTTTATATTCTAAAATATATCCATAGCATGCTTTTCGTTTAAATTATCTAATTAATCAATCCATTTTACATAAAATATTGTCAAATATGTGAAGGTTACATTATCTACAAAATAATTAGAGCTTTTGGCTTTGATATGAGCTTCCCAGTAACTTTTTTATAATATCTTTAAAGTTATTTCTAGGAAGGAACTCTAACACAAATGTTCTTTTTAGCCTTCTTAACAAGTTAAAATCCTGGGTCAAGACTATTCATTTTTATTTTTGTTGGTGTTTATTAGAAGAAAAAAAATAAGTTATTCCCTTTTGGATTTGCACCTTTTCCCGCCATTCTTAAGCTGTTCATTCAGAGGTCCAGATCTCTTTAAGACTATTCCCGGACAACTTCATGGAACCATCCGGAAAGACCTCCCTCATTTAGAGTGTGGAACACTGTTCATTTGTATTAAATTTTATTTATCAATTTTAATAATTTTTGTATAATATTTTTTTTGCTTTAAATTCTACTAGTTTATTTAATAATAAAGACCCGTCATTTTTTTTTTTAATTAATCACTGAATAATATTTATGGACTATGGTTAAACACAGACAGGGGGGCGTGCGCCGCGTCGGCGGCCGCGCCGGTGTTAAGACTGGTCTCTTGTCTATGGTACTTATGTTATGCGACACAGACGAGCCGTCGTTCATCAGCTCGCTGTCTCGGCCGCCGGGCGGCCTATGGTGAGTACCATGCGCAGTCGGCGGTTTTATGACTTCCGGCGGCACATTAGTATTACCGAAATCTAAATAAAATTTAAATTATTTAAAAAAATTTATTTTGCTGACCGTTGTAATCTGCTTAACCATAAAACTACCACAATAAAGAAATTAAAACTTTAACAAAATGTACATTTCAAAACAGTAAAATTCCCAAAATAATATGTATGAATGCTCAGGATGAAACTGTATAAAACATAACCAATTACTTAAAGAAAATATAAGAAAAAAATTGAATTACACCTGTATAAGTTAGATTAAAATATATGTTACTGTAGGCAACAGTAATTCAATATAATATATTAAAAAATGTATAAGAAAAATTTATTTTATAAAATGTATTTTTCCTATATTTTTTTTTTTGTATTTAAAAAAATACAACAAACGGGAGAAACATTGTTAAAAACTAAATAAACAAAACACATAAATAATGCATACATAATAAAAAATCACAAAACATGCGCATCAAAGAGTTAAAAGTACAAATATATTTATAAGATCTTAAAAAGTATGGTTACCACTACATAGTTTAACTTAGCTTAGTGTTATTATTAGTTTTTCTTCTGGTGATATGCTTTCTCTCATATGAAGTGTTATTTCTTGAACATGGTTCTTTAATAGTTTCTATAGCTCTTGAAAATATTGTTTAGACATTCGGATAAAATTAAAAAATTTTCTGGGTCATCTTTAATTTATTTAACTAACGTGTAAAACTTTCCTTTATTTTTTCGTTTATTTACTATGGAATGTATGGATTTTCTAATGTTGGTATATTAAGTAATTTTAAAATATCACAATACACTATATCTTCTGAAGAAACTCCTGATTTATAGCCTACAAAGCGCAAAAAAATTTTCTGAACTTTCTCAATGCTTTCAATATGACATTTATATAAAGGAGACCAAATAGTGCTGGAATATTCCAGCACTATTTGGTCCAGCACATTCCATGATCTAACCATAGAACAATACACACTTAAAACAATCTAGGTTATTGAATTCTGACAAGGTTCTTTTCAAAAATTCAAGTAATTTAAAAGCTTTATTACAAATAAAATTATAGTGATTTTTAAAACATAAAATGGGATCAAAAAATACACCTAAATCTTTGAAAGTGTTTGTTGGTTCCAGAAATATATTATTTATAGATTAATTAAAACAGATAGGTTGTGAGTTTCTAAAAAAGCGCATTATTTTACATTTATCGATATTAAGTGAAACTGTATAAAACATAACCAATTACCTAAAGAAAATATAAGAAAAAAATTGAATAACACCTGTATAAGTTAGATTAAAATATATGTTACTGTAGGTAACAGTAATTCAATATAATATATTAAAAAATGTATAAGAAAAATTTATTTTATAAAATGTATTTTTCCTATATATTTTTTTTGTATTTAAAAAAATACAACAAACGGGAGAAACATTGTTAAAAACTAAATAAACAAAACACATAAATAATGCATACATAATAAAAATCACAAAACATGCGCAGTCAAAGAGTTAAAATTACAAATATATTTATAAGATTCTTAAAAAGTATGTGACCACTACATAGTTAACTTAGCTTAGTGTTATTATTAGTTTTTCTTCTGGTGATATGCTTTCTCTCATATGAGTGTTATTTCTTGAACATGGTTCTTTAATAGTTTCTAATAGCTCTTGAAAATATTGTTTAGACATTCGGATAAAATTAAAAAATTTTCTGGGTCATCTTTAATTTATTTAACTAACGTGTAAAACTTTCCTTTTATTTTTTCGTTTATTTACTATGGAATTTATTATTATAT